ACCAAGCAATACATGATTCTGAATGAATAATACATATTGTTGTACGAAGCATTGTTCATTGCCAGCGTTCCTTTAATGCTTCAATAATCTCACACTAATGAGCATTAGTCTTCGTTCATTCTTTATTTTGTCATCAGGTTTTATGAAATGTTACGGATATGTTAAGATGTCAGTCCTTTGTGGTGGTATGCAACTTTTTTGTTTTCGTGATTCTTTTTTTGGAGTGTGCATTCATTCGGTAGAGAAACAAGCACACAGATGGGATGTTTTATTTTAATGCTTCCAGATGGCATGTGAAGAAGATGAACCAACCTCCCAACTTGAATCGAATGGTGCTAGACCAAACGGATTACAAGTAAGTGAATATTGTCATTCTTGTTATTAATCCATTGGAAATTTTAATATGTTTACGAATTTCAATTGTTTTCTGCAGTTAGGTGATCTCTCTTTAAGAGAATACTTATCGCAATCACTTCCCCGCCTTTTGTAGAGTTCATTTAAGGACTCCGAGCACTCGCGAGATTTCGCGGAGGTACTCGAGTTCAAAGACCATCGAGCCATATTCCATCCCTGATCTGTCTCAAAAACGTCTCCCTATTCGAGTGAAATTTAATGCTTATGCATTAATTTGCTTATGAATGTAATGCTTATGCATGATAGTCTTTGATTTCAGTGTTTTTTTTGAAAAGTGATAAAATTGGAATCGTTCATAGCGAAATTGTGAATATGAGAAATTATTCTACCCGAAGTGTGAATAGCAGCATTCAGTGTGAATGCATTAGGCTTGTGTTGAAATGAAGAAATAGTTCCATTATGTTTTGAATATTTTTATCGGTTTTATTGTTCGTTGATTTCGAACGATGTGCTGAATAATATAAAGCAACACGATCATTATTCACGTGTGCTCAAGCTGTCGTTTCGCTTCGTTAACGACTGAGGCAGTGATATCCATTTCTTCAGTGAATCACTCGATTGTTCCGCACTCTTTCATACACCTCGAACTAACGATGATTTTTTTTACATGGTCTGGAGTGTATTCTATTGCTTACTGCTGGTCAGGATTTCGTTAAGAATATTCAGTTCATAATAGCTCTCAGTTTTGTATGATTTAGTCGTTGGTTCAGTACATCACTGTGGTTTTTTTGCAAGATATTATTTGGCTATTGACATATTCAATCTTCCTAAAATCATCGTTACTGCAGTGATTATCAGCAAAAGGATTGTGGATATTGCTGTCCAGTTCATTCGTATTGTTCCACTGAGAATCAGAATTACCCTCTCTGATATTGACAGTTGTTTAAAAAATGTTATCAATCTCAAGTTTATTTTATCTAATTTGAAAATTTCGTCAATAGAATGTGTATTATATTGACTGGTTTTCTTCGGGAAACATCTTCACATCGTACTCGTTTTCATTCATTCAATCATTCATGTAGATATTTGTTCGCTTTTTTTGAATCTCTCATCTACTGAGTTAACGTTCTCTTGAGACATCTTTGATAGAATTGTTATTATTGTTATCATATTTATTCTATTGATTTGACGGAATAGAGCCGCTTTCTAGTGATTAGTCTTATGTGAGTGGTTTATTATCAGTTTGTTGAAGTGCTCTCGCTGAAAGTGAACAGATCGTCTGGATTTTTACGCGTTGCATCTGGATTTCTAATTTATTGGACACAAGTGTTGAGGATTTTTTCGATAACATTCGAATGTATTGACAAATCAATATTTGAGGTGGTTCGTTTCGAGTCAGTGACAGAACGGGAACGCATCAATACGCGACTTTCATTAGGTCGATCTCCCACAAAAATGCCAACTCAGTTGATACAACCAGCTGATGAGGATGAATCTGGTTAGTTGCGATGCGAGCATTTGTTCATTGATTCATTCATTTTATACTTTCCATTATTTCAACAATGTTCTTCTCATTCGTATTGAAATAGGTGCCTAAACCATTTCCGTTCAAATTTGCAAACATTTTATTCATTTCGTTGTTGTTTAGAAGAGATATTTTTAACGAATGTTTCTGATACGGATGAATTTTGTGTACAATTTTATACTTATATTTTTTGCGTGACAGAAATATTTTATGTTTATATTGTAGACAGTGATGAACCGTTATTGTCTGGATCGGGTGATGTGAACCGCGAATGTTCAGAGGACGTTTTGAGTGCTTGGTCGAAGGTTATGGAGGAATGGAAGAATGATCCTGAGGGGTTGGTGTTCATAATTGTTATTTTTGTAACTTGTTATAGTTGTTGTTATTATCATTGCAGCGCATAAGTTTACCGCAATTCTCTCATTATTTTTCCCTCTCATGTCTTTGCCCGCAATTATCAGCGTGAATATGAAATTACACTTTTTAAAATATGTTCTTTTTATTGAAAATATTATCAAGAACTGCAAAGTGAAGTTCGGGGTAGGCATTATTCGATAGCGATAAGTCAGTTGCTTCAGAAGTATTATTGTTCTGAAACTATCGGTCGATTGTGGTCGCATCGAATTTTTTCTTTCTTCTTCAGCTCTCGTCCTGAGGGCTTAGCTGATTTGATGCGTAATGGAGTACCGGATATTTTACGCGGAGAAGTATGGCAGTACTTAGCAAAAGTGCAAATCGATCCTGATTTAACGCAGACGTATCGTTTGCTTCTTGGAAAAGTAGGTCACTTTCTCATAATTTACCATTTGCTCATTTGAAGTGTCAGCGTTATCCAGTAGTCATGATGAATTGCAGTTATATTTTTTGGTGTAATTTTAGTAAGTCTCCCACTGGACTATCTTAATGTTATAAATCAGTGATGTATTTCTTGCTGATAACTGTCGTATGCAGGCAGTTTTTCATCTTATGCGTAACTTGTTTTGCTGTCCACTTTAGTGCTAAATTTAGATTCTGATCATAAATCTGCGATAAAAATCTATGAACCGATGTTTTTCAGGTTTAAATATCCTTTTCGAACATTGAAAGCTTATTTTCTTGCGCTTCGATTCACTTAATTAGTTTCATTTCGTGATTTGAAATAAAGCATCCCTTCGTTATTTAAATAGTAATGTATTTTGTTGGAAGGGAAAGGAATCTGCATTCAGGAATGTCCATCGGAGCAAGTGATTCTGCGTGATATTCACCGCACGTTCCCAGCCCACGAATACTTCAAAGAGGCGGGTGGCGATGGGCAAGAATCTTTATTCCGTATCAGTAAAGCTTATTCACTGTATGATGAAGAAGTGAGCTATTGTCAAGGATTGTCCTTTCTTGCTGCTGCCCTTCTTCTTCATGTGCGTTGTTTAGCGTTGTTCCTCTTTTTTATTATTTCTTTATTCATTCATTCATTCCAGATATGTTTTATTACCGATTGTTCTACGGGTATTTTATGATGATCTTGAGTGCCCATTATGATTTTTACAATAAGATATGATAGGTCCTGGACAGAAGTAATTTGTATGAGTTGATTTCATCTGTTACTGAGTTGTATGTGTGAAAGATATACTTGTTTCGTTAAGAACTGAATAATTACCATGCGTTTCGAAAGGTTTGATTCAGTCTGTTTGTAACGTTTCCAGTTTTCGTCAGTATCGCTCATGTGTGATTCTCATTAGTGTTATTCTTATTACTTCTTACTATTTTGTTTTCAGATGCCTGAAGAACAAGCGTTTTGTACATTGGTGAAAATAATGTTTGATTACGGGTTACGTGATCTGTTTAAATTAGGATTTGATGTACTTCACCTCAGATTTTATCAACTTCAGCGGTTAACTGAGGTACGTGAATTAGTGCTCGTTTTGATTTTCCCGTCTCGATTACTTCCTTTACTCCATCATTACTCAACTGCATTGATTGTTCTCAACGGTTCAAGATTCATTCGTATTTTTCAAAATGTAATCTACTAATTTTTATGGAAGTACTTCTAACTTCGAGAATTTTTAATAAATGAAACGAATTTTAGGATTATATACCCGATCTGTTTGCTCATTTCTATGATCTCGGTGTTGAGACGCACATGTATGCGTCTCAATGGTTTCTCACTTTGTTCACTGCCAAATTCCCTCTGCAGATGGTCTACTTTATTGTCGATCTTTTTTTGAGTGAAGTTAGTCATTTTTGCGCAGTATTTCTTTCAGATATTTTCAGTTTCATCGTAAATTTGTCAGTTATTGTTCAATTTTCCGGCTCAGTCTCTACATTCCGGCATTTAACATGAGTAATAATTTGTACGAACTATCTTTCTGTTAGTATCATTACAGCAGTTATCACAGTGGTTGGCAGTTTTCAGCAATAGCAAGAGAAAATCATACTTTTATTGTTATTTTATGAGTGACTGTTTTGAATATACACGGAATGCGTAAACATGAAATGTCGCGATTTTTCAGGGTATGAATACAATATTTCATATATCTTTGGCGTTATTGAAAGCGTCCAAGAAAGAATTGTTGCAACTCGACTTCGAAG